ACAGAGAGGAGGACCTTTAACTATAGAAGAGGCATCACAAGTAATTGATCAGATGGATGTTGATACGCAGGTAGCGGCCGAGTCGTCGAGAAGTGGTGGTCAAGGAAGTTCGGGTCGACCGAGGGTTTGGCACTGTGGGACTTGCGGCAAGGCTGGGCATAATGCAAGGACCTGTCAGGAGGTAATTGAGGTTAATATGGAAGAGTATAGTGACTGATTTTAATTGATCTAATAGGTTGTGGTGTTTTTATTGCTGATTTAATTGAGAAGGTTAGGATTTTTGGGACACTCGCTTATCTGGGACACTCGCTTATCAAATACGTTATTGGATAATTCTTAACTGTAATAATAAGCGGGGTACCTTGAACGTTTGCCCAAAACGGCGCAGCTGGTGAAGCCAACAGTAGTCTTATAAGTCAGCATCCGAGCGCCCAAAGAACATCCAGCTAAGCCCTGTCCAGCTAGGGCGGGTGATTCCTGCGGAGTTTTACTGCAGAACCAGGATCCGAACCCGACGACGACACCGAGCTATGAGCAGGGATTAGGGCCACTAGATAGGGCTATTCCTTGTAGATCCCTTCACAAATGCGGGCTGATTGAGGATCGACGGAGTACGGAGACGAGAAGGAGGTTTTTGATATTGACTGGGCAATACCGGATGCCATTTGGTCGTCAGGGTTGTGCCGATGATGGAGGCTAGTACACACAATTCGTACGGCGTGGTTTGACAACCGACTGAAGAGAAAACAGGGCAGGTTGTGCATCTAGAGCTATACAATTAGCTTTTTGACTAATAAGTCACTCGCCCCATATCCCTTAGTAACGCAGCCAGTATAAGCAGGGTGTTACGATCTAGAGCGGCTACTTCACATTTACCCTATAAATTTCACTAATCGCCACGCATAGCACCCACACTGTTTCAGCCAGATTCGTAAGCCGCTAGAACACTAATCTTACGGCTCACGATTATGACTCACTCCCGTGAGCCACTAAAGTATATTGACAACAGTTATTAGCAATTTCATAGAAGTTATCTCATCAGCTACCGATACAACATCTTTACTTCGATAAGCCTCAGTCACACTATCGACTATTAAGAAATGACATTCCTTGCTACACTCAGACTGTATTTGTTAAGCCAGAGCTATTATATTCACACAAGAAATGGTACAGAGATTCGCAAGGCGTTTTGACCAAGCGAACCTTAAATCAGAATATATAATAATAATAATAGTTTGGAAATATAATAAAAATATATATAATAAGTTATTAATTATATTAAGAAGGGTACTAGACTAGCTTACTAAAATTATAAGGGCTTTTAAAAAAAAGCAGCCTTAACTATTTAAAAGAAATATAGAAGAAAGCTATTTATAACTAATAATAAGAATTATATAAAATAAGAAATAAAAGAAATAAACGTAATATAACTATAAAGTATATAAGGTAGCTATTTATGATAATTAAAACTACTAGGGCTTTCTTATTATATAAATAAGGATATATAGAGAAGCACCCATATCCTAGTTATAACTACACTAAAGCCTTATGCCATTTAAACATGTAATGAAATAGACGTCTAGAGACTGAATATATCGATATAACAACCCAAATTTACAAAACTGTGCATCCTGGGCCTAAAGGGCCCCTCTCTTCGATCTGCCAACTACATCCAACTCCTCTGTTCCTGTAGACTCGCCGGATGCGATCCTACCGCATTCACTTCCTCGGCAACTCAATATCGGCCGAGCTGCTTGACGTACCGCCCTCGCTCTTCACCGCCTGCCCTCCCAGCGCGGGCATGAGATGGCTGGGGTACCACCAAAAGAAGCAAGCCATAGTCAACGACATGAGTCCGGCATCAAACACGTACACGGGCCATTCCACGGTCAACAGGTACCCGTCGTTACCCATAGCGTACTCGACAACGCGGAACACGTTCCTTGCCATAACCATGGCTGACGTGGCGTACAGCATGCTTAGGGTCGCCTGCCAAGGGATATTCCGAGCATGCCTGGAGCCACCGGAGCTGCGGAAGCGCCTGTTGAACACAGCCGCGACCACCATAAAGACGCCGAAGATGATGACCTGGAAGACTAGGCCGCCCACGACAATGTTCGTGCCCACGTTCGGGTTGATGTCTTCGACCTGTGACTTCATTGCGGCACCGCTCGCTTGGACGATGAAGCTGATCACGTCGCCGGCGACGAAGATGCGTGTCAGCCAGCGCAGCTGGACCAGGGAGAGCGCCCCGCCGTCCACAGCACGGATGACCCTGCTAAGTGTCATGTACAGAGAAGCGGCGAAGAGGACCGGCCCGAGGAGGAGGAAACTCGACTGGAGGACGTAGGGGATGAGTTCGCCCGTCTTTTCGTAGGCTAGAGCTCGGAGGGCATATCCGATGACCTCGACTAGTTCCGTATTAGTGTCATCGCTGTCACTCTCATTTGCCGCGGCAGGATTCACTTACAGGCGCCGCCAACCACGAACGGGACGCAGAACCACATCCTATGACGGAGCATCCTCAATGTGTGGCCCGCCGTAAGGATGGTAAAGACAGCGATGAACGTAATGGCAGCTGGTCGTGACGGGACAAAGTTCCACAGGTGATAGCCCTTATACGTTTCCAAGGTCGGCATCGTGCTTCGCTAGGACTGGTGACTGGAGTAAATGAATGAAAGACTGTGTCAAAAACGGGGTCAGAGAGTGTAAGAGAAGACGGAAGAATGCAAATAGAGAGGTCGAGACTTGGCAATGACTTGAAGGCCTGAGGGTGCTGAAGGTGAGACAAGACAAAGAGGTGGAGATTGGCGACGTGGATGAAAGGACACTGATCAGGACTCTTCTGGGTTCCTGCTCGGTGCTGCCTTATGTAGAAGACAGAGGCCTAGCTCCATGACATGACTGTCTCGGCTCCCATCTCGGTGTCGGATTCATATCGGTATCGGGTTCACCTCGGACTTGGTTTGCCATCATGTTGCCAAAGTAATCATATTAAAATTCCTTCGCCGGACTACAAACCAGCCATGCAGAGAATCCACTTGATGTCCTCGCATGGATTCTTGCCTGCCCACGGCATAGTCGGATACCTAAGCCATCAGGAGCCTCTTGGCTTGCTTTTCAGTAATCCTCTCGAATTGATCCACTCCATTTTCCAACTTGACTAACTTGCCCGCCATCAGACAATACACATCTCGTCTCCTAAGATTCTGTATGTCCTTGTCCTCCTCGTCTTCCGGGTTGTCGTCCGCTTCCATAGCCCCTTCTACCACGCCTCGCATGAACCATCGGTCATGACTAACTAGAATGACCGCACCTTCCCAGTCATGCAATGCTTCTCGCAGCGCTGAAACAGTCTCGTAGTCCAAATGAGTTGTGACCTCGTCAAGGATTAGGCAGTGGGGGCGCTTCCATAGGAGGCGCGCCAGCTGGCAACGTACCACTTGGCCTCCAGACAGCTTGATCAGAGATACACCAGAGGCCAGTCGTCCAGGCAGGCCTAGTTGACCGAGGAGGCCACGAAGGTCACCTTCATCGAGGACCCCCCTAACCTCACGGGTCAAGAGCCCCAGGGCTGTAAGATCTGGCTCTATGGACCCTAGCGCTCGAATCGCTTCGACGGCGTGCTGCGAGTAGTAGCCGAGCTTTAGGCGCGGGTGTGTAGTAACGTTGCCAGATGTTGGGCTGGATTCTCCAGTAAGAAGTTTGATAAGGGTAGATTTACCAGCACCATTGAGGCCCAAAATGCCAACTCGATCACCTATGTTTACTGAAAGGGTAATGGCCTCTACTTTGAACGGTGACGAAGGCGCATAACGGAATGAAGACTTTTCTAGAGAAACAAGCGGGCCGGGAAAGCGTAGATCTGGAGGTTCGGGAATAGCAATGATAACCGGCCGGTCTTCGGGCGGGATATCTATCTGCTTTTGCGTACTTAGATGAGAGACCGCAATATCGCGACTTAGCTTGAACCGACCCCCTCTGGCGTTGATGTTAAGCCCCTATCGATTGTCGAGTTTCTTTTGATGCGATTTTGCCTGGCGTAATTTGTTAGTGTCGTCACTGGCCTTGCCAGCCTTGATATTATTTTGAATGGACTTTTCAATGTGCGCCTTTTGTTTGTCCTGGGCCTCCTTTATCTTGACTAACCACAGTCTACGCTCTGTCTGGGAGGACTCATATGTTGTCAGGTCACTATGAAAATATGTTAATTGCTTATCCTTGAGTATAATCAAGTCGGTACAGAGCATGATGAAGTCACGGTCATGCGAGACCAAGATTACCGTAGGCGGATGTTCGCTTTCCCCAAGACCCTCGAGGTAGCGCTGCAACCAGATAATGCCTAGAAGGTCGAGAAAGTTGGTTGGTTCGTCGAGGATAAGAATATCTGCTTTTTGCAAAAGGGCTGTCGCCAGAGCAGCTCGCATATGCCAACCGCCGGAAAGGCTCGCAATGGGCTTAGCCATGTCGGCTTCCGTAAAGCCGAGACCAGTCAATATGCGTCTTGCATTAGACTCAATTTCAGCGACATGAGCGGGATCTGCCTGCAGCTGAATCTCGACAAGTGTTTCGGCAAACTCTTGTGTCTCCGCTTGAAGACTTTCGGGTAGTATGTCTTCCGCAGACTGTTCTAGGCTGAAATAAGAGCAGAATTAGTTCAGACCTCGGAAAATGATGGACTTAGAGTAACTCACAGCTCTTGGGCTGCTCGAACCAACTTCTCTTGGGCTAAAAGGACTTTGCGAGCTTGAAAGCCACGAGTACCACTCCTCAATCTAGCATCCTTATCAAGGCGAAAGAGGCGTTGTTGTTGCCTATGATGCTTGAGCTGTCTTAAAGCTCGAACCGCAGCATATGGATCCGAAGACTCAATCCCATCAGATAGTACTATACGTTGGGAAGTTAGGACTAATTACATCAGTTCGGTTCGATGAAAGGGATCAGACTCTTAATCTCCTGGTCTATCGCCTGCTTTGTTGTTGCATGTTCAATTACGCCTTCCAAGACAGATGAACCGTCTCCTGTCTTGCTTTCGGAGCTTTTTTTCGATTCTTTGTCAATGATTCTGCTCTGCTGTAGAATTGCAATACGAGTGCCTTCGGGAATTCCTGGAATGAGCTTTTCTGCGATTGCCTTGAGTAGAGCTGATCACGGACAGGTCGGTCAGTAACGTGGCTGGTTAACGCGCAGACATTCCTTACTAGATTTGCCGGTGCCGTTCTTCCCAACAAGAGCATACCTGGCCCCTTTGAGGCGAAGCTTAGCGTTGCTAAGGAGCTCGACACCTTCTCCTTCTGTTTTCGTTTTGCCTTGATGTGTCGGCTTGCCACTTGAGGTGATACTGATGTCGAGGCCTTCAATATCAAGCTAGTAATTGTCTTAGTATCTTTGATAGAACATGTATGCGGTGATCTCTACCTCGCGATAGTTGGGTGATTCGATATGAAAGCGTGTTTGTTTGGAAGTACAAAGGATGGTGGCCGCAGATTCTGAAGCCATCGAAGTCACGATGAAGTGCAATTCCGGTCAGGCAACTATGGAAAAGAAGATAAGTCAAGAAACAAATGTAGCGATGCTAAGAACAATGCCGACACTGCAAGGGTGCAGCAAAGGGAGGGCCTGAACTGTTGTTGCACCTCACCACTAATCTGTGACCGTTTTCTTCCGAGGAGTCCACTGAGTTTAAATATAGTGCTTCGAAGTGGTGGTTTGAAGCTACCCTTCGCCTAGAGCATCCCTGGCCCCCCTGCCAAAGTATCGTTCCCCCAAAACACGTATGACGCTCGTGGTGACTCACGCCGAGCGACCTATTTTGCAGTGGGTCACGTTGACTCCGAGGAGTGCTGGAGCGCATCCTCACACGCTGAAATGATCAAATCTGAATCTAAATTATGTAAATTGAAGTGCTCAAGTTGATGCATGCGGGTGAAGCGGGCGTTTTACCCTGCTAGTTGAGTATAGTGATCAAGTCACATTGATGGCCGGGGAGGCTGCCCCTCTTTTTGGTTCGATGACACAGTCTAACACATTCGAAAACTCCTGTGGTGCCTTGCTAAAAACTAATGATCCTGACCCTAAGCATTATGTAACTAGAGTTAGAGTTCTATTGGGATTATCGAACATGTCGTTGCTGAGTGTGGGGACGGTTGAAGACAGCCCCGATCTACCAATTAACCTACTCTTCAGCCTGGGCTACATTTTGGAAGGTCCCGTTGGACACAGAAATAGTGATCTTGTCACGCAAGGGGATCACTTTATTCGTTGCTTCCTTTTAGCCCTGCTCGTTTGTCTTTTGCTGGCAGCATGACCCGTGGAATCAGCTATTGAGCCAAAACTATCCCGTCATTGATTGATCTGGTTCTCGTCTATTGTTTTGAAGAGATGCTTTGGCTATCCCAAATTTCGCCTGGGACGAAGCTATCCGCCGCTCGATTGGCTGAGGATGGTACGAGTGGGTGCATTGAGCTATGTCGAGATTTCGGTCGAAACAGTGGGAATGTAGGGTGATACTAGGGCGGAAAGGAGTTCCCGGCCGACAATATGCACTCGCAAGTGAGTGTAGACTGAACTGTTCGTTGGCCCTCCTTTTCCCCACGACGATCAGTCGCCATACTGTGGACTACTACTGAGTCACACCGAGCCAAGCCTTTCTTAATTCGGCCCCAACTTCCTTTACATAGAGATATTTAAGCGACCTCGGTGTATCATCTTATTATCATTGTCAGCTTATTTGCCAAAACATACGTGTTGATCCTCGCCACTCGTTGCACAAGATGGCTGATGCAACCGCCAAAGTCGCAGTCAAAGCAACTCATATCATTCAGAGCGAACACCAAATCTCTCTACAAAATCCGTTTGTTCTAGGACCCTTCGATCAACTTGGCCATTATGCTACCCCTGTCAATACTGTATGGATCTATGGATCTTCCTCCGTCAATCTGATTCCCGTGGATAGGTTGCGTAGAGCCATCAGCCGCCTCCTAGATTATTATCCTCATTTGACGGGCCGGTTGACCATCGATCCTGAGACTGGTGTTCGTTCTATAACCAGGCTAGGCACGGGCATGCATCTACTAGAAGCTCACTGTGACGCTCCACTCCAGACGTTTGCACGTAGGTCGTCAGGATTGGATCCCGAATTCAGTGTCTTCGATTTTCCAGGGCGTGGAAACGCGCTGCTTTCACCATGGGATCTGTCTCTCGACGGTGCACAACGCGATCCTGTTTTCACCATTCAGCGTACAGAGTTTGCCTGTTCCGCCGTCGCCATTGGCATGAGACTTTCGCACGTCGTTGGTGGAGCTGGCAGTTTCCTGGGTCTGTATCAGGACTTGGCCGAAATCTATCGAGGGATCGGACCCGCCGGGGACCAGATCGAGTTGGCATCACCACCACACTTACCGCCGTTCATGGCCACGAACATGCTGTACATGAACATTGAAGAGCAAAGGAAGGCTTTAACTCAACAGCCGCCAAATTACTCCCTGAAAACAAATGATGAAGCATCTGAAGACCATTGGGGGAAGGAAACCCAGCTTGAGCACAGCCCAGACACGGACCCGGTCTTGGGGCGGAGTTTGCGATTTACACCGCAAGCACTAGTTGCTCTCAAATCACAAGCGGTACGTCCAGGTGACAGTGGAGCTCGGGTTTCCGCCTTTACCGCACTGTCAGCACACATATGGCAGCGCACACACCTGGCTCGACTGAAGCAAGCCAAGTCCTGTACTAAGCAGGCACCGATTTGCTCGAGCTCAACCTTTGGCACCAGCGTGAGCTTTGTGCCGCATCTCGGCTTACCTCGGCGCTTGTTTGGTAACACTGTTGTGACGCCAATCATTACCCTCGACTCCACAAAATTGGCGCAAGCACCGCTCTGGGAGGTCACAGAAATCATCAATGGCCTGGTTCGACATGTGTCCAAGGACGAAGTCGACAAGCTTGGAACCTGGATTGCTGCCCAGCCCAAAAAGTCGCGTATCCAATTTAGCTTCCAAGTCACACCTACTTCATTCATCGCAACTGGGTGGCATCGCTTTCCACTGTGGTTAGGTGCCGAGCTTGAAGTGCCTCCTATCTTCGCCAGTCCGGTTTTCATGGAGTCACTGTTTGACGGCATGGTATGTTTTGTGGAGCCCAGGGCTAAAGATGGTGGATTAGATGCCATCGCCTCTATGAAGTCATCCGCATGGGCACATCTCGAAAAGGATGAGGAATTTATTAGTAACTGGGATAAAAGAGGACTATGAGATTCGTACATGATGGCACACCTCTGTTCCTATTTTGCCAGCGTGTTCCATGGGTTGGGCATGGGAGATTACCAAAACGAAATCGTGATTATTTCCATTGTATTGCGCCTGGTCAGGTCCGAAGACGAGCGGCTGTTGACTAATCAGCCAAGGGTTCAGTGACAGCATTCAAGAACATTACTCGCACCTTGACCATTACTATTTATCCGTGAACTTCGTTCGGTGATGCGATGGCCAACCCAGTAGTTTGAGTCGGTACCAAGGATGAGTCGAAAATGGCAACCGTCCCGCCACTTGTCAGCATCAGCTCCCGGCAACGAAGCCTCGACAGGAGAACGGCGCTCCGGGACAACGGTGACACCGCTATGTAAGGGGTATCAGCTCCACTGCGCCCTTAAAATCACAACATGACGGGCAGGTCGTTGGCCGAGCGAACTTTCGAGAAATTGCGATCAATACTGATAGCAACTCAGTCCCAACGAGAATGAGAGCTCGGTCTTGATTGGGCATCTCGCAGCTAAGCTTTACAACATCGAGGCTCCAGAACACTAGTAAATGTCGAGGCTTTTGGTGGGTGACGGATGGATCAAACATTTACTTAGTTTCTCAGCCACATAATGGTTTCGGCTTTTGACCAATCCCACGAGTGCTCACAAGACAACACCTTCGTAATCTTTGAGGGGTCAGGTCAATTAAAAGGCCGCAAATTAGAGGTAAATCTTATCACGCCTTTCTTCTATCATGATAGATGTACCAGCGATAGTCATTGTTACATAACGCGACTTAGTACACTCTAGGCCAATATCTCGCCCCTACCCGGATCTTGATAGCATAACCCGGCTCCAACGGCTTCCTCCTTTTCTAACGTTTTGACCTCACTTGGCCTTGCCGAAAGCCCTGACAGCATACGCAGTCCACAGGGTTCTTCCGACGGACAAGCATGTGCTCAATTGGACCTGTTTCGGTGCCCTCTTCGTCTAATCCTTCCCCTGCGCGATGTCTCTTCCTTGACTGGCTTTCATAAACATATGTGTTAAATGATGCGTTATAAATGCACTCCCGCCATTCCATTTGATTCGTATATCGCTTCCAACGCGGTTACCCATGACGCTGAAGAAGAGAACTGTTAACAAAAGCCAGATCTAGGAGGAAGGTCCAGCAAAGTCCCTGCAAAGCGCCACGGCGTAGGGGATCCCTATACCCATAATATGACGTCAATTGATCACCGCGATCAACATGGTTCATTTCTTCGTTATAGGCAGCGGCGACCGTCGGGATTTGAACTATGTTGATAGCTTCGTCATACGAGTTCCTCTAATCAACATTAGAGAGGACCAAGACAAGATCGGCGGATCGGCCAGAGTCGAGCTACTTTTCTGCTTGTATCAACTCTCCGTGGGCCAGATTTGATACATACTACACCAAGCTCGATGAAACACCGATTTATTACGCACCTACTGTTCTTCATCCTGGAATGGAATGGGCGTTCTTGACAAGGGCGTACACCGGAATGGAGGGTTAGATTGACAAAGCTCGACATATCATCCAAACGTTTTAGGACGAAGAGTATAAGATATAAAGTGGTTAAGAACTAATTAAATTCAAGAGTTAACTTACTTAACCTTATTAATTATAATTATATTATTTAGATAGGCTCAAGTTACTATTAAAGCTATCCCTAAAGGCAGTAAGAGCCTCCCATGTATATAGAATAGCCCTCTTTTGGTATATCGTCCTCTGCCTACATATACAAATATGATAACTTTGCAGCTAGCAAAATTCACTAGGCTTGCCGATCATGCCCTTAAGAGGGCCGAGTGAGTCACCGGGCAAGACAAGCAACATTCGGCTACATTATCAACTATACTCCGTGCTCCACATAGAATCCCACAGCGGCATTTTTCTGGGCCTGTGTCATGTGGTTGATTAGGTATGGTTGGCTAACAAGCAATATAACTTTTAGCTTATCTGGTGATCGCAGACGATTAAGTACCAGTACATCACCCGCTGGCACACAAGCTGTAGTGCTATATAAAGAAGCAAGAGCTCTTCCCCTCTGGTTTATGACACAACTCAGTCTCCATTCACTCTCGCCCCTCTACCACACCTCTGTATACAGGCTGAGTATCGCTATAGAGCACAAAGCACAAAACCAGACAACACACAAAGCAAAGCTCCCCTTACCACATTCTCAGGTCAACCATTATCATGTCTTCGGAGCAAGATCACACGGCCAATAGAGTCGTCCTGGAACTGCCGACGTTGTCTATGCCCCCCTGCATTCAGAAGGTGGTAGGCAAACGATCGCCTCTCACGGACGATCTGGAAGAATTCCGAGGCATCCCTTACGGCAAGGTGACCAAAAGATGGGAGCACGCCAGCCTTCGCTATCGCCTGCCGCTCGACGTTTTGGACGCGACCAAGGATGGGTATGGTGCACATTGACCCCCTCCCCCCTTTTTCTTTTGTGGGGTGGCATGCTGACATTGACTTTCCCATTAGACCGATATGTCCCCAGCCCAAGACTGCGAGACACAGCGAATATTATCAGTCGTATCTTGAATTTCCTGACCTTGACCAATCTGAATTCGACTGTTTGAATCTTCTCATTATCCGCCCAAGTCCAGCGGCCCTCTCACGTGCGGGAATCGACCCATCATCAAAATTGCCTGTCTTGGTTTACATCCACGGCGGTGCCGGGACCGGCGCCGGCAGCGATCCCGTTCACGGTAGGTCATATAACTCAGTACGACAGGACGTATGGGCTGATTCGCTCTTTCGATGATAGATCCTTCCCGGCTTGTGCTCCGGTCTCTAGAAATCGGGACCCCTATCATCGCCGTCAACCTGAACTTCAGGATTGGAGTCTTCGGATTGCTTGGCTCAACTGACATCCTCAAGGCTCAGGATCAGACCAATACCAACAAAGGCCTTAACTTCGGGCTACATGACCAAAAGGTTGGTTTGCTATGGGTCGCGCGGAACATCACGCACTTCGGTGGCGACCCGGAGCGAATCGCCGTGCTCGGGGGCTCGACTGGAGGGAGCGCCCTATACGCACACATCCTCGATGCCGACGCATCTGATGACTTACCTCTGTTTCAGAAAGCTATCTTAAAATCCCCTCCCATGCTGACCATATTACCGTCACCACTCGCCGAGGCGGACGCTAATTGGGACAAGCTGTGTCGACACTGGAGCGTCAACGCCGACAGCAGCAGTGAGGATAAAGTGGAGGCGCTACGCCGTGTACCAGTAGAGAAGATGCTACAGTCTTTACAGGTGGCGCAGGTACCTTTGCTTCCGCCTATTGCCGATGGGATTACCATGACTCTGGAGACTGCCTCTTTCCCGCTGCATCATTCTGGTCTGCCGCGAGGCTCAGGCCAAGAAGGTCTGCGTGATCGACAACCTATTGAAGTTCTCTTCGGGACTACAGAGATGGAGGTTAGTTGATGCCTTTATGATCCCTCAATTGCGCTAACAAAGGTCGATAACAGTCTGCGGGACACGCCCAAGGTGGCGTCGACCTAGAAAAGGTGCGTCAGGGGTTTACAGCCAGCTATCCAACGACCCAAGCAGCTATCCAGATTCTTGATGCCTACGGTATCACCGACAGCTCCGACCAGAAGGCATTGCAAGAAGCGTTGGAGCGTTTTCATTCCGACGCAGTCTTTGACCTTGGCATCTTCCGCGCACGAAACCGGTTACGTACGCAGCGCCGCAGAGAGTATGGAGATACAGCGAGCATCCAGTCATACCATGTGGAGTATGGTAACCCGTTCCTCGGCGCCAGGCAAGGGTTATCTCATCATGCCGTCGATGGAATCTACATGTTCGACGCGTTCCATGACGCCCTTGCCGATGCAGACAACGGTATTTTTAGATCCTACGCTGAATCCCGCGCGGACTCGGCGCACCCTTCAAAGTCTGCCACAGAATCCCCGGCGGAAAAACCGACAGCTAGTTCGCGTGATGCGGCGTTTAGCCATCTCGAGCTAGCCCAGAAGTTTCAGGAATACATTATTGGCTTCATTCTTGGAATGGACACCCAAAAGGTCGCCGAGGACGAGGTATTAGTCTGGAATAAGACTGGTTCGGTAAGAGTGGAGAGATGGGCTGAGTCATCGAAGTGGAAGGAAAGAATGAACCGGTTGAGGTTGCTGGAACAAGACACAGCTTCGATTTTAAGAACTCTCGCCACCATTTAGCCAGCAGTAGCAGCGGGAGTATTAATTAGTATAAATTAAATCTAAACTGGTTTCTCTATTTAAAGCCCTAACTATTATATTTAAAAGTATTATTAATAATAAGTATATATTTTATTTTTTTATTCTTTTATTAATATATTTAATAAAATTATACTTTAAAAGTCTATAAATGTTGAACCGGGTGAACCGGGATAGACCGTGATAACTAGAGAGTCACTAACTAAAGGTGGCACACCTTGTTTTTGGCCTGACGGTTCAACAGTCCTTCCTTGGTTGGTTATGTTTAGGGATTTTTTATACGGTATATATGACGTAACCGCTGTGATCGTAATAAAACATCAGTGCACTATTGATATCAACAGGGGGAGTAGATGTATATATTAGTTCATAATGCCCGGTTACTTAGATGACTGTTGCGAATCCCCTATACTAGTCTTACTTTTACCTGGCAAACTAATAAAGTCCCCTCGAGGAATGGAAGCACGGACAATGTTGGTATAATTGTTGATAGGTTTACCGAGTTGGGGATTACTAAGGTCAGATACTCTGTTAGTGGCATGATGCATGTGGGCCGTGATGCAACTGACCCGTTGTATTGCAAACTGCAGACCAGATCGCCTTGCGCATTCATGACGGGGTCCTTGAAGAAGAAAACACCGGACACCGGGAGCGTGAATCTTTCCTGTCCTTGTAGGCAGTTGCGGATCGAGTTGATATACCACTCGAAGTTTCTGCCCGCGGCCTCGTAACCTTCCTCGAAGCCCCGCCTGAAGTCTGACAGATACTCATAGTTTCCCTGGAAGCTTGTGGTTGGGTGGTCAATGTCCACCTGGAATTGCAAACCACCATCGGTAACCTCTTGCATCTGGAATTTGACTGCCCATTTGGTTTCAGCTATAATCCTGGGGATGAAAGGGCTTGATTAGCGACCAAACTTGAAGCTTTGATCAATCACTAGGTTCTCCGTGGTGGTAAAAGGTCTCAGACACGGATCTGAACTAGCTCAGTATATCACCATAGAGACCCTGATTTATTTAATCACCTGTGACAGATTTACTTCTTGTTAATATTGGGGTCGAGTGCGCTAGGGTCGATTGTGAACTCAAATCTGGTCCATTGACGGCCTTCGTACACAATAGTGTTCGAGCCAGCCGTTGTGTAGGCCCTAGTGAGAGTCATGGCTGCATTATCCGTTAGTGGCTTGACAAGCCGAGAGTCGGCGACCTACTATCTCCACCCATCCAGATTTCCACTGTTCCCTTGTGGGTGTACACGTGTAGTGCATCCTTACGCCATTGCGTGTCCTGGTATCTCCAGACTTTAGAGCCTTTACCAGGCGCACCCGTATAGGCATCAAAGAAGTCTTTGGCACTTTGTGGCCAGTCGTTGCCGACGGAGAACTCTTGTTGCTTCAAAGTATACGTGGTCGAATCCTTGCTGGTGTCTTCGTGTCCGACGCCATATGTAGCAGTAACTTCCCAGTCGTAACTCAAGAAATGGTAGTCTGCCCAGCACGTAACCTGGTCTATGTTCATAGACATGATGCGATTGATCGCTGAAAGCCTTGGATTGACGAAAGATTCCATGAAGTTGGCGCAAGACAGGACAAAGGTCCCGAACTTGGACGGCGAGTCCGTCCCAGGCTTTCGGCCGTCTGTCCAGTTACCCATACGTGTATCAAGAACCGCACCTCGTTTCGAGTCCGGAGGCGGCGTGTTTTGCCCCACAGTCTCGAGATAGAGTAGGTAGTTCAACCGGCCGTTACCGCTGAGACCCGGTGGAGCACTGATTTTGGTCTCAGGATCCGTCCAAGGATAGGTCATGTAACGGACATTGTTTACTTCGAACGTGGCGCGCTTGCTAGCTAGCAAGAGCATTAGCCACTGCATATTGTGCAGTATGGAAACAAAAGGACAAGTGCCTCACCTTTGGGGGCGATGACTGCGAAGCCCATCGATAGCAAATTCGAATGCATCAGGTTACGTGAGATCTTTCCGAAACAAAATTCCAAGGTCCTTTGAAAGTCGGGGTGCAGATCAGTATAGCTTCGAGGTGCCCCAAGCTTCCATCCAGGTGGGCGTTGTTGCTTGCCATCCTGGTCTATCATCCAGTCATTCTCCCCCCAGTCACCAAACTCCCAAGACCCATCGCCCCAAGCCATGCTCTCCAGATCCAACAGGAACTCCATTATAGAATGGTCAGGCTTTCCCTTCGCGGCACTGCGATCAAGAACCGCCTTGCCGCGAGGTGTCTTCTTGTCCAACGCCACGAACCCTGATGATCAGCGACTTATCAGTAAGTAATGGAGATCTCCTGGACCTACCAACGTCAATTGGAACTGTGACATGCCAATCTTCAATTTCAAGGAGCAGTTTCTCAGTGATGGGCTCGCCCGTGTCGTCATCTATCTTGATGAAACGCCTGATCTGTGCTTTACCCGACTTCATCCACATGCGAAACTTGACAGAACGAACATTGGAGTAGTCGGGCTGGACGATGACACAAGGCTCACCAAAGATGACATTTTTGACCCAATTGTTTTCGTCAGCATACGCGTTGCCAGGCTTGGGTTTGACAGCACCATCGATCTCGTTACCACCTTCAAGTAGTCTGTACAGATTGCTGATGCCTTCATTGATCATGTGCTGCGTCCTGGCGGAGGTGTTAGTTCATTGTGCAGAAGGTGATTTCTTCTGGTTTTAAACAACATACAAAGCAAGTACTTGGTCGTAAGGTTCAATCTAAGAGACGAGCTGCGTCAGCACATATTACAATAAAGCGGGACGCATATCACCTTGATTTTCCAAATCCGATCACCCATTTCAACGGAAGCTGTACTCGGAAAAAGACGTAGGAAGGGTTGTCGTATGGCGTAACTAATTTGCGACTTGATAAAGGTAAAGCTTGTTCAACTAAGAATACCGATAGGAAACCAGTTGCAACTATATATATAGGTTCGAGTAACGAAATGACGGCGTAAATGGAGGAGCAAGTTGCAAGTGATGATGCTAAAATGGGACCATTGGTGATCAATTCCTGGGTGAACGAGCTTCGCGTCTTCTTTGTTGCATCAGCACATGTTATATTCAACAAAGTTATTTCGGCACAAGCATGAGTGTAATTTGCCCATACACTATTCAAATATGGTCACATATCAGATTTACAAAGAGTCAGCGGATGCTACGGCTGAGCTATATGGATGCACCAAGATCAATCTATAGGTCCGTACAGGACTGGTAAGACATGACTAAATCTGATATGTATACTAGCCTTCTTTAAGCAGAATGATCTGCACTGCTTCAGCTAAGCCATAGAACGGCCCGCACCTAGAACAAGCGGGGTATCGTCGATGCAAGGAGGCTTCTCTACTGTTAATTGGTAAATGTACGCAATTTGCAGCAATGACGACAACGTCTTGTGACAAACAGGTATTTCAGCCTGACCTCAAGCTCTGTCACTGCTGTATCAGGAAATTAGAACAGCGGTGAAGACGCATTGAGGCCAGCTGTGAGGGTTCCAGTGCTGTAGGATTACGCTTTCGGAAGCGTGCGCCTTTTCAGCTTTGCCAATCAAGACAATCAGTACGCAATCTAGATTACGATGAGGTCAGTCAGGGACATACTGTTGCTATTGAAATATCTCACATCGGAGGAATGCCTTGATATCGGACCTGATGACTACTGCTCACTTGAGACATGCATCTTACCCAGCTGTGCAGGGAGCAGAGTCTATGAAATCGCTCAAAGATCGACAGACAAACGGCTTGTGTTGTGCACCACTTTCCCCCGAGGTTTCGGTCCTGCGTTTGACGCTCACATTTCGAATGTTCCAACCAGTTCTTAAATAAGCACTTCTTTATAGCTTACTGCTGATGTTCCATGACCCGCCATAGCTCTATCAATCCTGACATTACGAATTTCATACGCCTATCATCTCTATCGCGCAACTATGGCTACCATCAAGATTGACTCAGAGTTGATGACCAACTATGTGTCTACAGTTCCCGTCCCCGCTGGTAGCCATCACGTTACTGTTCTTGATCAGAAACGGATGCCAATGGTTTTTTGTCTTAGTAATGACCGGCTATCACCTCGGCTCCAGATCTGTAAGAGGCCGATCCCTTCAAAGCCAATTCCATCGAAGATTATCTTATCAGATCAGTGCGTCGAGACGCAGAGGGCCACTCGCAGCTGTTTGATATACACAATCTAATCGGCTTGCCCAAGGATATTTACGTTCAAACATTCCATGCAGAGCAGTCTTGGGACTTGAGACTCCACCTCGCTGTTGCATACGGAGACGAAAAGCAGTCGAAATCGTATCTTCACCTTATGAAGCCTTTCTCGCCGGATGTGCTGCAAGCAAGTGATGATCCACTACCTCATATACCCGGAGAGGCTCAGTTTGGGACTATACAAAAGATTCTCATGGTCTGCAACAATGCTGCTACTTGCTTACAGCTGCTGACGCATGTGGGATAGGCTCCATTCTCCGGAACCAACAGCAATGTGATATACCCGGACATCTTCCTCATTCATCAGGAGCCAGATCAAACTATTTCCTGGGGAAAAGATATCTGGCATATTCAGGTACAGCCAAGGTTCAGGAGTTGGTCTGCTTCTAAAGAACTCGATACTCCGGAAAACGTGTCTGAGATCTTGGACATTGCGCCTTCTTCTAGCTCTTACGGTCAGGGACTCTATGTCCTGTATGTTACACAGGGAAAAACAAAACTCTATGCTCGATACATCAGACCCGATCCCAATGCCACTGACGGCACTCAGTTCACCTTCACGACCCCTGTCAGTTGTCCCGAAGGTATATCACTAACTAGCGATTCTGATCAACCTTCCTAGCAATGCTGACCTGGGCTAGGTGCGCGATGTATTGCGTCGCTGTTGAATGACAAGGGACATAGTGGTCTTTTAATTGCCGCGCCCGACGGTATTAGATACCTCACTGTTAACGATGCAACTTCCAAGGACAAACCCGGAAAGCTCATCTTCACCGACGAGATGTTCAAAAGCCTCAGGCAGCTTGATCTATGTCAAGACAAGAATGATGTAGCCATCTGGTTTAGGAACAACAACGATGAGTTGGGGTACATCCGCACCAAAGCCGACAAGGTGGTAGAAGCTGCAGTTTCGTCCCTTCTATTATCGTCCGGCCAGTCCAGTTCGTTCTCAGCGGCCATTACTGCACCGCATAGTTATACTGGCCAAGCAGTCCGACAGATGGTGGTTTCCAACGATCGATCTGGAAACCTCATGCTGATTGAACAAACGGCTGACATTGGACTTTGGCGAAAGACGCCATTTCACCAGCCCTCGTCGAACAAACCAACACCATTGAAGAGCTACACTATAACTATGAAGGCCAGGGACGGCAGAGGTAACAGTTTATCTTCAGGAAGCGTCCGTGTCTCGGCATCCTCATCGATCAGCATACTCCTCAATGGGCGAAATCTTCTCCTTACCACTGTACCAACGTGGTTGGATTGCGATCAGGCGGGCAGTCTCGACTTCATTATCCCAAGCGATAGTCTTGGCTCACAGAAGCTGATTATTGATCAACTGCGATCTGACCAACGCAAGATCTTACCATTCACACGAGTGGAGTATGATGCCTCGGCGAAACCCATGCAGCTTCTAGGTCAGAAGCTTGAAGAGATCAAGTCTTTGGACCAGTTCAAGAACTTCAAAACACAGTCTGGAGAGGATTTGTTTGAAGGGGATGTGAAGAACGATGAGACGCTGATGGAAAGTGCCCATGGCTGCCTTCAAAGTCTCATGGGAGCCTACAGTTCAATGCGGCCCCAGGAATCCTCCTTGTCTGCTCAGTCAGATCTGAAGATAGCTACAGGCTCGGACATAGTAGCAAGAGCTCAAGTCTCGTCACAGAGTTTCGGTAGTGCGTTCATGGATGCCTTTTACTGGCTGAGGGACAGATTCAATGACGTCAAAAATTGGGTTGTTAAAAAGGCGGGTGAGGAAGATTCGGATCTAATAAGCCGATATGAATCATTATTAACTTACTGTGTAGGCGGTGTCTGGACGTTTGTGTGCAGGATTGCAGGGGAAGTTAAGAAACTTGTCCTCGACTGCGTCGAGAAGATCTGTGAAGTCGCCACATGGGTATGTCGATGAGGTCCCCTGTATAACCCTGGCAGTGTTAACAATCTGTTCTAGATTTGGGAAAAGGTTAAGGTAGGGTGGCAGAAACTAGTAGATTTTATCGGGTTCATGTTCAACTGGGGCGACATCTTGGCCACTAAAAATACCATCTCCAGCACCATAACTGCTGGCTTGGGCTACGCCGCAACTAAGATGGATCACATACAGACCAAGGTGGACGGGTTCTTCACAGCGCTTGAGAACACAGTGGATCAGTTTGGTTCGAGCATCAAATTGGATAAACAACTCGGCGGAAAGAACTTGTCCTGTGACCAAAAGGTATCTGACGCGCTGTCGTCTACTTCGACTACGTGGACTTCAGAGCGATTGAGAAATGGCGGTGCTAGCACAAGTACTAAGGCAGACTTTCAAGGTGAGCTGAAGATATCATCATTCTAATATGACTTGACTTCTAAATCAGGGAGCAGGGAGCACAAAATCTGATGAAGCCACGAAGTTCTGGGAGTCTTCCATGGCGCCCGAGATCGCGAAGCTGGGCGCTGCCATGAGCCAACTTGGTCAGGACATAACTATACTGTTCAAGAAGGACGGTTCAATCAACGGTGACGACATCATCAAGGTATCCAAGAGCCTGGTCAAGGCGGGAATCGCATCCGTGAGGACCATCGTCAAAGGGCTGTTAGAACTCGTCAAGGTCTTCGTTCAGAAACTGTCCGAACTGGGTAATGCCGAGATAAACATCCCTATCTTCTCTTGGCTCTACGAGAAGATAAGTGGAGGCCATGCATTGACGCTTTTCGACGCAGTCTCCCTGATCATTGCTATCCCGACAACTATCTTCGCGAAGCTCATAACTGGAAAAGCGCCGCCGACTTTCGCCAACATGGATACCAACCTTATCAAGGGCCTCATTGAGGGCAAAGATGTTCCTGACAGCACTAAAGCTGACTGGACAGTCTTCTGCGGCGAGGTTGTTGTTGGCATTACGTTGACGTCGGGCGCTGTTAGTCTGATCAAGCTACTCTACAAAACTGCCACTCAGGGCTTGGACGATGTCCTTGACGAGTTGGATGAAGGACCTTCGTCGCTTTTTGATGTTTTTGGCATTGTTGTTGATATCATAGGGTGTTTGATGGCAATTCCCGAGCAGAGCGATATGCCCGGAGCTTCGTACCGGAATGCAGTAAGTAGTCTTCCAGTAGGACGTTTAATATCCGCGTTAAACAAGACTGCTAATCCTGAAATTTAGATAAGCGCTATATCCTGCTTCCGAGGCGTCTACCACACATTCGCCTTCTTCGTCAAGGGAAAGGGCTCGGTTGAGAAAGTCACCCTGGTTCTGGATCTCTTGACAGTCTTAGCTAATCTCGGCCTCTCCGTCGCTGTTGGTGTCGAGGAAACAAAGGCGGCGAATTCGTGGAAGGACTATGATAAAGAGGCAACAGAAACAGGCTTCATCACTTCGGGGCTCAACACATTGGCAGGTGTTGCGTACTTCACTGCATTTTTCTTCAAGACCAACCCCGAGATCTCTGCTGCTAGCGCAGCTGTAATGGTCGGGACAGTGGCGGCGGGAGCTGCGCTTGAGGGTATGGTCTTCAAGTTGCAATACGATAAGAGTAGGAGAGTAGCACTGCCTAGCCCGCCGCCATTTTGAGCGCTAGTAGTTCTGTCCTTTAGCTAGTATATGTATGAAACAATTACGTTTCTCACCTGAGTGTCTCACTCATGCGTCGCCATAAGCTGGACGCCCTTCCAACCCAATGTGCTATTCTACTTGCAGCTATATCGAATGATCTGAAATTCATGGAGGTTCTTGTTGAGAGAAACATCATGAATATTCGGACGAGGCCAAGCGAACGGCGAAGCCAAGTACGCAGTTCGTCGTCGGAGAGTTCCTGCTAAAGCGATGCCAGACTGGCCACTCTACTGCGCTTGGACAGAACATGAAGCAAAGATAACTGGTCTCTGAATTATCAGTCCTCTTAAATAGTATTGATATTGATATTCAACACGACAATGCTTTTCCATCCCAAGGACTCTGCTGTCAGACAACACACTACTCTTCCTCATATCCCACCCAGATTTTAGTCTTGCGTGTAATGCTCGGCCCGCTGATCCACAACGGTACAGCAGCAACGAATAGCATAAATATGACCAGAGCAACAGTCAAAAACATGAAGTATTTATCCTTCATCCACCAATCCAGAGTGCTGTAAGATACTCCGAAGCCAATAACATTCTTAATGACATTAACCACGACACCAATCTGAATGGCCTTCTTGGGGTAGCTCTCAGTGCAGTAAGAGATCATAACATTGCAGCCTCCGGTGAGATTGGCGTTGAGTATGGCCCAGAAGAGTCCAACGACAGCCCAGTGCCAGCCACGTTGGAAACCAACACCTATGAGCGTCGTAGCTATCGGAGTTGCGATGGCGAACGGCAAAAGGATAGGTAGCGCTGACTCAGGCTTGAACTCGCCTTTGCGTCGCAAATGCCTCTCAGCAAGCCAATCCGCACCCGCGCCACCAAAAGGCATCCCGGCCAGCAGACCCAAGAGCGGGGCAATGTTGTACAGGCCAACCTGGCCAGATGTCCAGAGCCATGGGGGCTGGGAGAAGGTGATCGAGACAAGGATCGAGGTGGCAATGGTGCCGGCGATTGAGAATCCGAACAAAAGGACTGTGATGATGACAGCAGGAGACACGAGTATTCTGAATGGCTCCACGACAAGATAAAAGAAGTTCGGCGGGGGCTGGTTGTGTCTGAGCGTTAGAAAGAATGACCGTCTGAACCAGAGTGCACCGGGATTGCAGGGTTCGAATGTTGCCACTGAAGCTGGTCGTGTCTCGTATTGCTGCGCGTTACCAACCTCCTCCAAAGGCTCCTTTGGCTCACCAACCTGCTCTTCATCAACCGGCTCGATGGAGATATCGGAAGGTTTTGGGTCGCCAGGAACTCGAATATTGGTAAGAGGCTCTGGGAACATCAAGATCATGACGAGAAGGTTGAGCGCACAGATGCCACCGAAGATGTAGTTCGGATACCTCCAGCTGCCCAGGTTGTCGACCGCGTAGCCAGTAATGAGGGGACCGAAGACGGCGCCAGCACCCAAGGCCCAGGTGTAAACGCTCATGGCTCGCGCGACATACTCGCGGGGAAATAGTAGCACCACGACTACTGGACCGAGTGCCTCTACAACGCCACCCCCCAATCCACCTATGACACGAGCAGCGAGAAGAGATTCGTACGACTGCGCCCTGGCTTGCCAGAAGAAGCCTGCGGTGAACACTGCGAGACCGATGAGGATGGTGTAGCGGCTGCCGATATATGCGACAGTGGGAAGTGCCCAGACATTCTAATAATCGAGATAACGTTCAGCGTCGATGGAACTCAAATGGGTTCCTGAGTTGTGTCATGGTACTTACTCCGAGTCCAATGCAAAGAGTGCCCCAGCTCGCAAGCTGAGAGATCTTTGTGCTGCTCACATGCATGTCCTTTACAAGAGGAAGAAGCATAGGTGGGATGGAAGCACCGAGAACTTGACCCATCATGACGAAGAAGGATAGATTGCCCATCATGATCAATCGCCACCACAACGGCCATGACTAGAGAAAGACCTGTGTCAGTACTGCGTTATGAGAATTGCAAATGATAGCAAAATGGAGTTACTGGGTTGGATGAGTAAAGCAGACGACGTTCAATGGAAACAACATAATGAACGGGTAATTGAATAACAGGTTATTGTGACAGGACGCAGAAGGACTAACCATTGGGCCATCTTTTCGGTGCAAAACGCTTTCAGGGGAATGCGCCATGCCGGGCTTGGATGTTACTGCCAGCTTTGCTTTTGCGAAGTGAGGGTGGATGCCGAATAAACTAGCAGAAATATATACTCAGAGCCTGTCGAGTGACGCTGGGTAGTGATGGTAGAGCCTGTGTACTAATGTGCTGCTGCAAGGGTTGCGAAAGGGGCACAGATCAGGAAAAATCGGTAGCAGCTGTTTAGCGGCCTGAACTCAAAGTCGGACTTTGCTTAGACTTTTATTCAAAGCCTGGCTGGCCCTCGGGAGCTAGTGATGTAGGGAAATCCGGGGAAGTGGCCACGCTAATGCTTAAGCCACGAATCCCCATCCTAATCTCGGAATTCTTATTTATATTCCGACCTGGGGATCCGGGGTATGACACTGGAGCTTGTAGTGACAGATGCTCAGTGCAGCCAGCTATCGGGATATCCGCTTGGAACACCCTCCTTGGCTGCTAAACCTTCCGGGGATTGTTTCTCAAGAAGATGGTGCTATCTGCACGTCCGGACGATCAAAATGGGGTTTTCCATGGCGTCCTACTTTGGGTCGGAAGAGCCGAGATACATCCCCAGTGCCAAAATGTTACAGGTTAATAACAACAATAAGCACATACATGTCTACAACCCCTTGCTAAGTAACAGCATACATCTTAGTATTCCTGCTATAGCACGGCTTTCCCGAGCTACATTTCTCACTGTACTGTGCTGCCAAGGCTGTTTCACAGGAGGACACAGGCCCTGCCACCGGCTGAACCGGCGCCTGGTCCTCCGATGGGGATAGTATGTATTGCAGTGTCTATCTTGAACGCTGGGTATGCGGAAATTGCCTGTTTGGTTCCGATTTAACCACTGCAGATTGTGGAGAGATTTGAGCGAAGAATAATTCATTGCAAGACTTGCTATGACCTCTTGGTCCATGCAAAGGTTGCAGCCCATCTTCCCTTTCTTACACTACGGTATTCTAATGGTCCAGCCATTGCAATTACAAGTCACTGCAACAAGCTACTTTATTGTAATTCAGCCACTAACCAGGTTCCATGGTGTGCAATCTTGCATAAGCCTAACCGTTTATTGCTTCACTATCTGCTCATTCTAAATATTACTACCTAGCTGAGCAGGAAGGACTGTAAGTCTACTCCAGGATAAACTTGATGCCAGTAAGGAGATTCCCAATGAATGTCTTCGTAGCACTCAGTGTCGGAAACATCCAAAAGACATGGGGTAATCCTTGGTACATGTCAAGCTTGACCTTGACCCCTTTGCTGCCAAGTTCATGCTCCATGGCCACGTTATCATCTCGCAGAGGGTCCGCTCCGCAGGCAACAAGGTAGGTACGTGGAAACTTGGCGAGGTGCGATGAGAGGAGGGGAAATAGCCACTCATCATCGGCATGCTTGTCGAGACCAGTCGATGCTGCATCAAGCGTCAGTAGCTGCTCAGTAATCATAGCCCGTCTCATTACTTACCGTTGATCATCTTGGCTGTCTGCCCGTCAATGATTGGGACATCGGTAGCGTTCTCTTCCATAGACTTCATGAGGTGTTGAAGGTGCTTGGGCACATTGGCCTCGTGAACTGTACCTCCAGCCATGTTGATGACTCCCTTGAGCTGTCCCTCTCGTCCAAGTTCAATGAGTCTGTGAGCGGTGGCAAGGGAGAGCGTACCACCGCATGAGCTTCCCAGCATGAAAACACGTTTCTGGTCTCCACCTAACTTGGAGGCATTTTTGTAAGTCTGTAAGCGATCAGTCAGAAATACGTCTTAAGAGTCGGAGAAGCAGAGGCCACTTACCCATGAGAATCCATCAAATGCGTCCTGAAAAACGACCTTGATATCAACCGCGGGTGTAAGACGATACTCAACGGAGACTATCATGCAAGGATACATCGATGCAATCAGTCTGCACAAGCCATCCTCCATATTGATGGACCCATCAGAGAAACCGCCTCCGTGACAGAAAACGCCGATAGGCAAAGCTTCCTTAGACCCTTTTGGCTTATAAATACGAACAGTAACGTTTTCGTTAATCTTCTCGTCCGCTACGCCACGTAAGCTGAGTATCAGTAAGAGGCCTTGGATGTGCCGTATACTTACCAACCTCAAGTCCGTCATCCCGGGGAGGAGGCAGATGAGCTCGGATGTACTTCCCAATAGCCTCCCCACCCGCTCGATAATTCTCCATAGTCCCGCCAAGGACAAGTCGGCCACCAAGCTCTTTCTCCACCTGCGCCAGGTTAGCTTCGTGAAAGGGTCTCCAATGGATTGAGTACTACCTCCAACCACTCAGGGGCTAAGTAGGGCGCCATGTTGAGATATCGTACTTCCTACAGGACGTTGGATCTGGTAGAGATAGTTGAGTTCTAGGTAGGTATGCGTTGCTGATAGATTGGAGTTTGTGCCGACAGATAAAGTCAGTCGAGCGGTTGATCGTTTATGTTTCTTGCGACACAACAAAAGGCCCTCCAGTGATTATTGCCGAACCATCCGAAATGAATCTTATGGTATCTACTTGCATCAAATCCTTGCGCAAGACTGACTCATAGCCTCCCCGGGAGAGGTTCCGACTTTGCTGGTGGCAGCTTTGCGCACTCTATGTTGTGACGCGTCCACGCATAAGGATTGACAGATCTTCGCGAATTCCGTCGGGAAATCCGCAAGAGCAGATGAGCAAAATGTTGACGTCTGGAAGGTATCGCTCCGAGTTCAAGAGTCAAGCAATCGGATTAACCTCGGTTTGACCGAAACGAAGAAGGGGGACTTGTCGGAAGTTCCGAGTTTTTTTTAAATAGGGGCTTAGCAGTTCTGGACGTCACGCGATGCAGTTTCGTGATTATCGATTAGACCTACGGATAAATTCGACGACCCACGGAGTAGTATCTAGAAATTGTTCTCTCAGCCATGGCAAAATTGAAACTACAGAACAACAACGAAGCTCACGAACTCACAAGTCAATATGAACAAATGTATCTTTGTCGACGACTCCTGCAATCTGTCTATCCGTGACATACCAGAAACCTATCATCCCAAGGATGGCCAAGCCCTAGTCAAAGTCGAATACTCAGGCATCAACCCAGCCGACCTCAACCATCCAAAGGATCTTGGCATGAAGAACAACGTATGCGGTTATGAAATCTGCGGCACCGTCATAGAAGCAGGAAGGACTAGTCGCTACGCAGTAGGGGACGTCGTCTTTGGATCCAACCATCCTGGACGCTCGAAACCAGGATATCATGGCGGCCATCAAGACTTTGCCATTGTGGAGTCAAACTTGATGTCAGCCAAGTTGCCCGCTCAACTCCCTCGTCCAGATGCCGCTGCTCTCAGTATCATGGTGCGCTCAGCTGCAGATGCGTTGCTGAATCATTTCGAGATCCCTTTTCCTGCTATAAGCGTCCTAGGGCCAAGTCCTAATGGCGCCCTATTGGTTTGGGGCGGTGCGAGCAGCGTGGGGAGTGCCGCGATACAGCTCGCAAAGGCTATGGGAGTGAAATGGATATTCACGACTGCTTCGCCTGCCAACCATGAGGCGCTGCTTGAGCTTGGCGCAACAAAGTGTTTCAACTATCGAGACCCAAGTGTCGTTGATGCTGTCAGGGCTGCATGCGAGGAAACCGGCGCCACCATCAAATATGTCCTAGACACAGTGTGCAAGACAGGCAGTCCTGGAACGATTGAGCAGTGTGAGTCGATTGCCTCAGCACCAGACGTCACATTCGTCAGTTGCCTGCCCCAATTCAGTAAGCCACCACGATGGAGAATGGTTTTTGCTTCTAGGGAAATCGACAATCCGATCCCCTTCGAGTTTCCTGGGGGGAATAAAGCAAATGCCGTATGGGAGGCTCGGCTGGAGAGGGTGGTTGTTTGGGCCGCGAAGAACTACGGGACGCAATTTCGAATTCCCAATGTCAAGATTGTGGAGGGGGCTGAGAAGGGAATACAGGCTATCAAGGATGTGAATGAAGGAAAGGTCAGCTTGACCAAGGTTGTCATCAAGCACCCGCTTTAGGTTGTATTGGCCATGCATATACTTGCTCCTAGATCATAGGATTTATGCCATATAGATCTCAGATATAGCTATTATTGGCAGGCCAGTTTCTGTTCATCCCAAATAGCCCGAATATACTATCATCCAGAGTCTGCAGATCGCCTAGTTACCGCTCAGTATTCCATCTCTATCACGCTTTGGGTCGTCATTAACTTACCTGATCCAACACATTGAGGATCCACCAAGAGCTGCCCCATATCGATATCTCCAAAGTCTTGTAATAGTGGCGTGTTGCTATCTTTAGGCATGTGAAGGCGCTCCCCAATCCTGATAAGTTGCTCAAATGTAAAGCACAAATTCCCAGATGCAAAGTTTCGACATTTCGATACCTGAAGTATTCTGATCGCTTCTTGAAATGCATCTCTACTCTCTGGTCCATAGGTTTCTGGGTCCTGAGAAACGACCAGCAGGATTATAGCGAGTGACGATACGGTAAAATATTCGTATGAGCTTCGAAGACACTTTAACGGGACCGCCTTATTGATTACACCAGAGCACAGAAAGATGGTAGCTTTGGCGCACTGGATACAGACTGCTGCGGCTGCTGTCTTCTCTCGATCACCTTTGTATGAGTGAAGGAGAGGTTTGCGTAGTAGTATTCGAGCGTGACAGATCCGTACTTCTAAAAAGGTTTCTAGGTCATTCATAAGTACCTCATTCTGAAGAGGATCCCAAGGCTTGCTAGGTAAAGGTGTAGATCGGGCGGCCGCCGTGAGGTCTCGGAATTGGTCGCGTAGCCGTTGCACTTTGTAATCGAGATACTCTTTATGTTGCCGACCTTCTGCAACGCTCTTGGTTGAAGGCTTCAGCAGTCCGATTATCTCCGAGTTTAGACGTGTGTATTCCATGGTTACGACTAGGAAGGGCGCGGAAGTTCCCTTTTACGAAATTAAAATCTGTCAGCCAACCGACATCCGTTCCAGAATGACTTACAAGATCGAAGCACTTCTCATCTATGTCTTCGTCTTTCGTGGTATGGGGAAGGTCCGTTGCGAAAGAAAACGTCCTGTCTAGTACGTATACACAGCAGAATAGCTCTCGTGGGGAAAATGAACCAGGGATTTCGACAGTCTTCTGAACCTCTTCTGGCGCTTGATGAAGACCAAGTTCGAAACATGTTCTCGATGCTAGACTGATGAGTCGCCACGCCCTCATATGTTCAGATTTGTGGAAGAAGTACAGGCTCTGTTGTTAGAAAGCTGTTAGGTCGGAAGCTGTTCGTTCAGAGTAACCATCTCACCATCAAGGTAGCCATGACAACATCTTCAGGATCTGGGCCTTTGCCCATAACGAGCTTCTCCACCGACCAATCGACGTAGCGTTGGAGGTGGCGTGCGAGAGGGCTTGTGCTATCATTTTCAACAAGGAGAGTAAGCCCTAGCAGGGCTTTGATAATATCCACTTTATTCAGGTTAACAGAAGGTAGTTGTGCCGCGTGGTGAGCAGAACGTCCGAATACCGCATCCAAAACCGGTTCTGTCGAGTGAAGATCAACACACGGGTAAACGGGATAAATGGTCTCCGCAAAGGTAATGAACAGCTGTCGAGCTTTGTCGTAACCCAGCTCCAGGATTGATTCCAAGCAGTCATCACTTGCAGAAGCAAGAGATTGCTCTAATGTCAGACATGGTTTGCTCGCTGGACCCTGGACGTCCTTCTCGGCTTGGTCCACGATACCGTTAGTTTCGAGGCAGGATCTGGCTAAGCTGAAAGTATCAACAAAGCTTGAGCGGCGAGCCGTAGGAGATCTGTCGGTAGCTGCAGGACTTTGTAGTGAGGCGCTTAGACTGTTACTGGTCCGCGCAGGTAGACGAGATGCTTCGCTCGAGGTAGCGCCGCCTGAAGTCACAGATATGCGAGGCGTTGCTCCGTCCTCAGTTGATGGAGAGTATCCCATCTCTCTAGAGAATAAATTGATTAGGTCATATCTTTCTGGACACTTGATGTGGAATCTTACAAGCTCATTTCTGTGGGTATCGGGCTCATGCTGGGTATGTTGCCACGACGCGGGTAGGAACACTCCACGCCACGCTTGGTACAGCGCTGGCAGGGCCATTGGCCGTCACATTTGACTTTTCGAGACTTGCATAGCATACTGTTGTCATTGCATTAGCATCATGTATGTATGGATAGAGAGTTACGAAATACCAGGCGACCAGAGCGTACTCGTTGCGCTTTCGGCGCCCGCCTCGGGTGAATCGCTGGGTATCTGACACATCGTTTCTGGTGTCAACCGGCTGTGACATGACACTTTTAACTTATAAAGTTGGTATGTTAAATAGAGTTAGGTTGGGGGTTGCATCGAAATTATGAAGCGAGTTAGTAGGACATGCCTTGGGTCACGTGGGTAACCCCGCGCAGCATAACCTCGGGACTCCATTGGCTCCAACGGTTCCATAGTCGATTCATGGACAAGCAAGGCCGCTTTGTTGGTCTAAACTGTAATATATAAACCCGGTTACCATGGTTTGAGTAACTTGGACATTTTAAGCAGTTAATGGGCTGTCTAGTTATTCTGTCACAGTAACCAACCCCGTTGATGATTTGTGAAATGACTCGGTTCGAACAGCATTGCCGTTCTTGAACTATTTGGGGAACTCCCATACGCATAATTGACCATCTCTACAGCCACTCTCACTTTGCTGAATTCGGGCGCATCCCTTCCATCGCCTTGTCCATCAATGCACAGGCTTCCTTCCATGCCGGCCTCAAGCTCACCCTCTCCCACCAATCTCGCAGATGCGGCAACTCGGAGAAGAGGACGTCAGCTTCCTTCAGATCAATGAGCTGCGAAACCCAAGGCATAGTCCAGATATCTACAAGGGTGAAACTTTCGCCGGCGAGATATTCGCGGCCAGACAGGATTCCGTCCAAGGTTTTCATGGCGCCATTGAGCTCATTCCAAATATCCTCCAATGTCTTTTTGTCTACCCTGGGAAAACCCAGTACTCTGTTGCAAGCGGTAGTTAGCAACGCGATCAACGATAGATCAGTGCGCAAGACGACAACAATGTTGACTTACGGTTTGACGATGATATCTCCGCAGTATTTCCAAGCTACAGGGGAGAAGTAGCATACTTCCATCGACGCAGCCTCTTCAAATAAAGCGACGGCTTCAACATCGCTGATATCCGGCATCAACGAGTTGCCCTGGTTGCAATACGCGGCAGCGATATAACGGGCAATTGCGCGGCTTTCTATACAACTTCAGTAAATGGATGACTCTCATGGGGGGGGAAGATCCGGCACATACCACAGATTCTGAGGTGAGTTTCTCCTCGACCATCCAGTACGTCTAAAATTGGCACTTTGCCGAAGGGATGTAATTTTCGGTGTTCAGGAGTCTTGTAGGGAGATTAGCATAATGCGGGATAGCCATGCCAGTGGAATCGATGGATCCACGCACCCGGGTCACAAATTTGAAAATTTCAATATGTCTGTATTCCCAGGTAAGACCTTTCTCGAGCAATACATGCGCGGCGGTAATTGTATATGGCGAGACATAGTCTCCGTAGAGTACAAATTTGCGGTCCCTGTAAACGCAAAATTAGCATGAATGATTTGGGCTGATAGATAATGTACATTTGAAAACAATCCGGCTGAGTAAGTGTGAAGTGTGATGGGAGCAAATATGCTATATTCTCTAGTATTATCAGAGCTCAATAGTTTAAACTCCGCTTGATAGCCTTACATTTTATGGCGTTATCATTATCGCGATCCGAAAAACAAAGCTCCGAGGTTCAAGTCTGGGGTAGGCAATGTGGGGTATGGAGTTCGGTAGTTCCGAGCTTCGTCAGTCCGGATTCGGCTAGCCTCCGTGATCCTTCATGATCTATCTCGCGCTTACGCGTTTTGTTTTCGGCCAGGCTCATCTCCTGTCTCTGCTTGGCTCTGTATTTTCGCCAACCTAGGTTTCGAGTTTCGGAAAGTCTCATTACAATTTCCGAGCAACAATCACCGTCTTCGTAGTCAGAGTTGCGAAGCAGAAACCGTCAAGTTAGAGTTTCATTCCTCGGATAACCCGCTCTTGATCTCGTGCAACGATGGAAGTTCCGAGCTTTCTCAACTACCGATTACAATGGAAATCATTCAACATATCGTCCAAAAGTTAACAACAAGCGTTTCATTCATATGTAGTTTAAAAACTATAGGTATCGATGTGTATAATACAGCTTCCAAGTCAATTTAGTCGAAGCAAAAAGCATCATCTAAAACACTCTCAGAACGCTTTTGAACCGATACGTATCATTATCTTTACTAACCATGAGCCCTGACATCCCTGACTCGCAAGACTTGGCCAACAGGCTAGCTCAGGCCAAAGTGTGGAGTCAGTTCTATCAGAATTATAATCCAGACTACAAAATCTCCGACAAGACTTTTGGTGACCCATGTCAGTCCAGGCTATTTTCTTATGGTGATCTTCATTCCATTCGTGCTGACATATATTCTGCCAGCCAATCGTAAGATTCGGGTCATCAACATAGGTGCTGGTCTTTTTGGCATCAATCTTGCATACTGGATATCTGTCAAGTGCGAGAACTTTGAACTCACCGTGTTTGACAAGAGTAGTGAACTTGGAGGTGTCTGGAACCACAACAGATATCCGGGAGTTGCCTGCGATGTACCATCTCACGTGTATCAGTATAGCTTCGCACCGAACCCGGATTGGCCTCGATTCCTCAGCCCGTAAGTTGGAAGGCCCATGCAGGTCGCTGCAAAATTACGCTGATACTGACTGAGCAAAGAGGTAAAGACATCCAGAAGTACCTTCAGAAATGCGCCGCCACGTTTGACCTTGACAAGTACATCAAGTTTCATACCAGGGTTCTGAAGGCCGAATGGCATGCCGAGGGATTCTGGCGCGTCTTTGTGCGGGAAGAGCTACCAAGTGGCGACTGTCGAGAGTATCACCAAGATGCTGAGATTTTGGTGAACAACTCCGGAAGTCAACACGTCTACCAATGGCCCAAAGTTGAGGGCCTCGATAAGTTCAAGGGAACGGTAAGTCTGCAGACTTGGTATGCTGATTGTTCTTACTCACGTATGTTCCAGTTGCTTCACACTGCTGCATGGGATGAGCAATTTGACGAAGAGGCGTGGAAGAACAAGATCGTTTCTGTAATTGGCAGTGGTGCCTCGGCAGTGCAGGTAGTGCCTAAGATGCAGGTAAGGCTCTACTCCTTGTTTTTACCGCTGGAGGGTTGTTGACATCTGGCAGCCCCATGTTTCCAAGATGACTGTGTTCTCCCGCACTCCAATCTGGTTTGCACCTGGACTTGCAGGTGATGAATTCAGCCCTGAATGTAAGTACAACTGTTAGCCTCAAATAAGGAAAGTTCGGATACTGATTATGCTTAAAGACTCACCAGGAGACCGAGAGGAGTTCAAGAAGGATCCTTCCAAGCTTCAGGCCCATGGAAAGAGCATCGAAAGGCGGCTTAACAGTCTCTTTCCAATCTTTTACAGCGGCACTGATCACCAGAAGAATGCCATCAAGTTCTTTTACGATCAAATGAAGATTAAGATCAAGGACCCGAAGCTCCTCCAGGGTGAGTGTACAGTTTTGTGGGACATCTGACTTTGCTATGTACTAATCCGCCATCAGGCTTTACTCCCGAATTTGTTCCCGGATGCCGTCGCGTGACTCCAGGCGACCCATTCATCAATGCAGTCCAAGAGCCAAACGTCGAGGTCATCTTCAAAGGCGTGGCAAAGCTCACAGAAGACGGCGTCATCGATACAGATGGCGTTGAACGAAAGGTTGACGCCGTAGTCTGTGCAACTGGTCAGTTTCTTGCAAAAAGGCCTACCATAGAGGACATTCTAACCAAAGCCAGGGTTCAATGTCGACCTCATTCCACGATTTGAAGTCATTGGACCAAACGGCCTTCGCATATCCAAATTTCTTAAGCAGAGTCCAGACAGCTACATGTCGGTCGCTTTAGCACAGTTCCCAAACTACTTCCACGGGAGTACCGGCGCCTACTGGCCCTCTGCCAACGGATCTCTCATCGGACCCATGGACGCAGTCGCAAACTATGTAGTCCAAGTCATTCAGAAGCTGCAGATGGAGCACAACATTATCAGCGTGGTTCCCAAGCAAGAAGCGATGGACGACTTCGTCGAACATGCTCAGACATGGCTGAAAGGCTGTGCGTGGTCATGGGACTGTCCAGCTTGGTACAAGGCACACTCTGGACCGTTGAAAGGTCGGGTGAACGTGATTTGGCCAGGCATTACACTGCAGTTTGTAAGAGCCTTGAGCAAAGTCCGCTGGGAAGACTATGACATCACGTATGCGGCCAGTGGCAAGAAAGGCGCAAACCGGTTCTTGTATCTCGGCGATGGGCTTGTTAAGGAGACGTTCGATCCCGATATGGATGACTCGCCGCATATTCACCTCGGGGCTATTGACCCTAGGTGGGCGAAGGCTGCTGGGCTGTCATTCGTAGAGGGAATGAAGCTGTTGAATTCTTAAGAACTGGATAGTTAGTAGTGTGAATGGCAACACTTAATACTAAAGGCATTACAGGTATCCATCTTAGTTAGCATGATGGCGTTTTATACAAGCTTAAGGGGTATTGGGAGTATCACTCATACTTAGTTTGTATTCACTACAGATAAGGATTTTTTCAAACTCACCTACCGATCCCAATGAATTCACAGACTTAGAAATTATCTTAAGTCTCCATCGTAATGACCAGACATGAACCCACAGAGCATTTAGCCTTCAGTAAAAAGATTCGGGGACGGGTTGTAGATACCTGCCGAGCCGAGGGAGGTCAGAGTCTTTGTGGACTCTTTACATAATGACTACTGCCAGGGAAGCAAGTCCTGGAGAATGTCACTACCAAGACCCTCTTGACGCAAATAGCATTGGACGAATTTTTCTCCCTGAATTGGATCGTGATTGCAAGTTTATCGTGGCGTTCTAGAAAAGACTATGGGGAATATTACTGGAATTGGTGGAAGGAAACTGCGCACGCAGATGATCTCGCGTTGGGTTGCCAGTTAGACTTAGACCGCCTGAGGTTTACCCATCTAAAGTGGGCGATGGTTACTATTTCGCAAACTTTCTACAGCAGTGGATTCGTGCCCCAGTATCTTTCGGCGATAAGGTTTATACGCCCATGACGATGCATTAGTCGATCATAGCGACTTTCGGGTTACATAAGCATTTACTGGTGGTCGCACTAATGCACGTCAGTTCCAACTTTATCCAACTACCGGATGTAAGCACCTTAACCCCATCAACTATTAAAGTTTTTAGGTGTTCCTGTAGGAGAGTTTGATGGCTATTATGGAGCTTGAGATTTTTTGTAGCCGAAAAAAACTATATAACATCTGAACGCCCTCGGACTCAACCACAATTCTTCACTTGGTTATCTCCGCAACAACTCTCCCCAGATCTCCATCTGCCTGCAAGTCTACTGATTCTTTTCTTTTTCAACCTCAGATCCTTATCTCAAACATGAAATTCTACGACGCACAAGCTCCCAATCCCTATGCTGTCCGCCTATTTGTTCTTGAGCGCGGCGGCCTAGAGTTCGATGTCCAGACCATCGATATCATGAACCTAGAGAACCGGCGGCTCGTATACCGCAGCGTCAATCCCCGAGGCGAAGTACCGGCCTTAGATATCGATGGCTTCGTTTTGACTGAAATCACCGCGATATGCGAATATCTCGATGAAGTCGCCAAGGGAGGAAAGTCACTGTTCGGTGACACGGCGCTTGAGCGGGCTGAGACCCGGATGTGGCTTCGGAGGATGGATCTTGAACTGGCCCAGCCTGTTATAGCCTGGTATCGAAACGACCCTGATACTATTGACTTCTACAAGGGCAACCGAATTCCAGCACCTGAGGCTCGTGTAGTCCAAAAAGTCACTATCAACCAGTTCCTGAACCTCCTAGACGATCAGCTTGAAGGCAAGGAATACCTATGTGGATCGCGATTCTCAGCTGCCGATATTCACTTTTATGGGCTGCTCAAGATGATGGTTATGCAAGTCGCTCAGTGGGTCCTCAGCCCTGGGCGTCAAAACGTTGCGGCATACTTTGAAAGGATGGATGCGCGAAAGGCTAGTCAGCAGGCTCTTAAGCCATTCGGATCGAAAGTGTCAGTATAGAAAAAGAACTAGAACCGGATTGGATACAATATAGTTATATGGATTATCCGGGGTGACTTTACGTCGCTAACCTAATTCCCTGCAAGTCTATGTTAAAAGACTTATGTACCTTTGTTTATTATGTGGTTTATGATACTATATGCCATAGCTTATCCATTTTTAGACCAGATTTACGGCAAATAATAAATCTTGGGGTTTCTCTTATGCTTATGGATCTACCTTAGATATGATAAAGTCCCTAAACCAATGCATTAATCTCGGCGCCTTTGACCTTGGTGGGCGAAGGCTGCTGGATTGACGTTCGCTCGGGGTATGTAGCAGTTAAATGGCCGCGAGGTATTTATCAATGGTAGAGTTATAGAGAAGTAGACTTCTGCGACGATCAGTAGACTGGTGCTCGAGACTCTTCTGGTAATATCGAATTATCATTCAGTGCGGATTTTATTGTCTAAACCATTGCCACATACCATTGAAACCCTGCACTTCCTAGAGTATCTTGAAAGTATTGGGAAAGTGCTATTACATTCGATAACAGTGCCAACTTTGGCGTGATGCCAGCCCACTCAGCTTTCAGTAACTCAAATGGCGTGGTAATGATGCAACTGGGAACGGTCCTCCGACCCGGTACTAGAGAGACCACATCGGGCGCTGCGCTTGTTCTTCCAGGCGGCACTTGACCGGCGAACTTCGCCCTCATGAAGCTCTGGTGGCGGACGGGAAATGCCGATGTTACTGTTAATGGCTAGTCTTGTCGCAGAAAAAGGCTCATGATTTGTCCGCTGTTCAACCCTTGCATTCAGCTACTACCAGCTAGTAAGATTACGTCCAATAGATTAATACTTATGCATAACATACACGATAAGCGAGCGGGACAAAAATCACTTACCTTATATTATCACTATCTGATTAATTAATTCTGAATTAAATAAAATATCGCAATCTACTATTAAGGCTTATATTAATCTTATACTTTAGGCCTATTAGGCAGACCTAAAATTAAGTTTATAATAAGCTGCAAAGATTTATAATATTCCCTTCTAGTCCCTTTATTACTAATCTTAGGGTAGGCAGGCTTATATTAATTATATTTTCAATAATTAGAAATTAAATAATCTAAAGCAATAGGTTATAGTTTAATATATCTTTAACTTAGATTTATAAGGATTTCCTTTTTAATATTATAATATTAAAGAAATAGTAAATTATCTACTTATTAATTATAATATATTATTAGTTAATAAGTGCTAGGCTATTAATTTTATTAAGTAGTAATTATAGCTTAAGATATATTTTTAAGGGAGATATAATTATTAAAGGGTTAAATATAAAGATTTAATTACTATTTATAATTAATTTAAGCTTATTAAAAATATAATTATAAAATATAATATCTAATTAGATAATATCTAGAACTTTAATAAGATTAGCTTTATAATAGGTATAATATTAAGTAATATAATAATTACTAGCTTAGAAAGATATAAAAACCTAAAATTAATCTAGCCTAAAAACCAGGAATAGGTTATAATAATTTAAGTAATTAATATAAAAGGCCAGGTAATTAATTTATTTATTATAATTATAGGCTAATATTATCTTATTAATTAATACTAAGAAAGTAACCTTTTAGCTACTTAGGCTATTACTATAACCTAAAATAGCTAGATAAATAATAAGATAGGCCTTAAAAAGCTAAAGTACTTTAATTAATATATAACTAACTAATTAATTAGTGCCTATTATCTTCTAATCCTTAATAGCTATAAAAGTTATTATTTAGCTAACTTTTAGATATATTATAAGGAAAATAATATTATTATACTTTATATATTATCTTATTCTTCCTACCTATGTTACGATTCGTGCCCGTAACAGCGCTGTAAGGCTTCTATAAGGTAGCTGTAGCACACCCATGATTGCTTACATAGCGATTATGGCCCGATCTTTTGCCCTGTGGTTTAACGGCTTGTGCAACCGTTACAACCTACTTTAGCCTCTTAATATTAGGTACTTTAGGCTGCTAAAAAAGGCATATAATTAAGAAATAAAGTAATTAATTAGAAGGTCTATAACCTATATTTCTAAGACTAAGTTCTTTCTAGCCTTTTATACTGCCTTTTAATTAACTATAACTAAGTTAAATATTAAGAGGGGTTTTAAAGAAGTTAGACTTACTTCTTTTAACCTAGAAGTTATAATATTAAAGCTTAATATATAGCTATAAACTCTAATACCTATTAAAGAGGTAGCCTAATAAGCTTAGGCTTAGACTTTAAGTATAATAATTAATTTCTAATTATAAATAAACTAAGTTATACTAGGTTTATTATTAGCAGATTATATAAGGCATATAACTAAGCTTATTAAAGTATTATATCTCTTAATAGTAGATTTAATATATATTAGGCTTAATTAATATAAAGAAGTTTTATTAATAGCTAATAAGCTTAAATCTATAGAAGTATAAATAAAAGTAATTTATATATTAAATATAATTTTATAGAAGTAATATAATATAATATTATTATTAGTCTTAGAATAATATAATCTTAGAATACTATTAGTCCTATAAGTATTAATCCTTTTCTAGTTAGTAGGCAGAGTAGAGAAATTTATAAGATATATATAATATAACTACTAAGATTATAATATAATCTCTCCCCTCTGTATTATGATCCCAGCGGTTACGTCACATGTACCCTATAATTTTCTCCACTTAACCCACTAATTAGGAAAGGACCGATACTTACAGGACCGATAGCATTCTAGGACCGCATCACTCCAGGACCAACGGCAACCTCACACTACATCGCTCCTATAGAACCACATCTAAGTATATAGATTATATTTATTTACACTTTTATAAATTCTAGCTTACCAGCTATTAATTAAAACTTCTTTATATTAATTAAGCCTAACACGCATTAAATCTACTATTAAGAGATATAATACTCTAATAAGCTTAGTATTATACCCTATGCAATCTACTAATAATAAACCTAGCACAGCTTAGTTTAATATAGTTAGACTCTAACCGTTATATATTAATAGCTCTTATTTAGACCATACTGTATAACGCTAAGTAATATAAATACAATAGCTGCCTATATTAACCCTGCATAGTAATACACTGCACCTTATGCTGCTCTAGCACCTATTAATAATAATTAGGATATAGATAATAATTCTAAAAGTAATATTAACTCTAATATTACCTAGCTCTATTAGCAGATAACTAATATAATAACTAAAATAAATAACCTTAGATAAGCCTTAGCTAAAGCCGCTGTACTCTAGGCATAGCAGGTTACTAACTACTAAAACGCGATTTAGGAAATACGTTAATTTGCTGCTATTATAGTAAATAGGAAAGAATTAGGGGAAATTCTTAAACCTAATATACCTGAATTATTTAATAGAAACCCTGCCAGACTAGCTACCTTCCTTACTTAATGCTAAGCCTATATAAGCTACTTTTTAAACTAGTTTACTAATAATAATAATAGAGTTATATATGCATTAGGATATCTTAAAGGTAATACTGCTTAATAGTTCTAACTTATATTAGAAGTAATTACTACTATATTAGAAAATAAACTACTACCTAGAACTTTTTAAATTTATAATAATTATATTAAATTTAAGAAAGTTATATAATAAGCATTTAGGTTAATTAATAAAAAAAGCCAAGTAGAAAGAAAGATTAAAATATTCTAATAAATTAAATCTGCATTAGAGTATAAAACTAAATTTCTCTAATTAGCTACTAAGCTAAGATAGGACTAGGAACCCCTTATATTACTTTTTTTTAATAAACTTAAAGAAATAATTTAAGTAGAACTCTATAAGGAAGCTAGACTAAGGATACTAGTTAACTATATTAGCAGAGCCGTTAAGGTTAATAATATGTAATTCTAATAAAGAATCCGCTATAACCAAAATAACTAAGGATGCCAGGGAAATAAGCTATACTATAATACTAACCAGGGAAAGAAATAAAATAATAATACTTCTTATGGCACTAACTCTGGACTAATAACTATTGAAATAACTAAGAAAGATAAATCTAAAATCACTTACTAAAACTGCGGCAAGAAAGGATATTATAATTTAGAATATAAGAACCCTATTAAGATTAACTAAAAGTATAAATTAATCCTAGAAAATAAGAAAATTAATATAGTTAAGAAGCACGAGGAACCCTAAATAATAATTAGAACTATTAATATAACCTGCAAAGACGGCTATAATATAACTAAACCTATAAGATATATTAGAAACTTTAATCTATCCCTTAATATTTAAGATCTATTCCTTAGTAAGGAAGAAACCCTTAAGAAATACTACCTATATCTAGACCTAGAATAATAACCTATCTTAGGATATATAGCTCTTATAGCAGATATTTATAAGCAAAGCAAAAGCAAAAAACAAGTAAAAAAAAAAGTATATAATATAAAAAGATAAGAGAACCCTAAGTTTAGAAGAAAGGAAAGTAAATAATAAAAATAATAAAGACTAAAAGCAAAATAAGATATAGAAGTTAAACTTAAATAGGCACTAGTATCTAAACCGGAAATATAATACCCTATCAAAGGAAAATCTATATTTATAGTTAAAAAGGGAAAAGAAGTCGACCCTAACCTAGATAATAAACTAAGTATTATAAAAAATAGTCAAAGAACCTACTTAATAATAGACGAAATCTCTATTAAAGTTACCCTAAAATAACTAAACTGATATATTAATAACCTAAACTACTTAGAATCTTGCCGAGTCTAGAGAGAATTTAATACTAAACGTATTAAATACAAGGAAAATAAAATAGTCTAGAACACAGAAATCATACTATAATACAACGAATATAGAGCCTATTTCTAGAATAATAAATACCAGAAGTATATAAAACTTATAAGAGAATATGTAATTATAGAATAAGATAACAATATCTATATCTAAGCATATATAAAAGAAATACTAGAGGATCCTATAACACCAGA